AGGTGTAAACTATCTCTGGGTTTTCTTTTAATTGTTTTGGTGTAAACTATCTCTGAGTTTTCTTTAATTGTTTTGGTGTAAACTATCTCTGAGTTTTCTTTTAATCTTGAAATCAGTTTCAAGTAAACTGCTTTCTCAATAGTTTTGGTATATTTTTAAAAATGGCGAATCTTCAGAATGTTTTGATTTTTTTTTTCAAAATTCGTAACTCTAGTTGTTATTTTAATGGTTATTTCAGGGTCAACAGAAAATTACCGCTGGGAATATTAAGGATTCAAACAGTGAGAAAAGAAAATGCTCGCACTGAATCTCCCCATAAATTCTTAAATCCTTAGCCAAGAGCACAGTTCTAAATTATAAATGTATCTACGTATAATTAGTTTTTCTTTGGATGGGCACAAATTTCTTGTCCACTTCTTTTTCTTTCCTCATGTCACGACCAAAGTAAATCTGCTCATGAAATATAAATTATATGGGGATGGGGTTTCGTTTTTCTTAATAAAAATTGACAGAGTGAAGTAGTTTACAAGGAATTTCTTAACTTCTATGTATCGACATTTATCTTTATTTAGAGAACGTGTATGGTTTATAATCAATCTGCTTTGTTATTAATATTATTTATCTAGGTTTGATTTAATTTACAAATTAGTGCTAACATAATGCTCGGCCTATTACATTTTTCATTTTGGTTAAAAAAAACAGCGCCATCTAAGTGGCTCGGCGGCACTTAGTTTGTTTTTTTTAGAACAAAGCTACATTGAGCTACCTACTATGTTCCCCACGGGAAATCGAACCCTAGATTTTAGCGTTATAACTCCTTAGATTTACCGCTATTCCATCGGAGGACGGCTTAGGCCTTATAATGTTATGATTTCGGGCTCTTTCTCTGCAGTGGACATAATGCACATAGCTCATTGTGGAGCTTAGCGTTTAAACAAATCAATAATTTGGGTGAATGTGTTGTGTTTTTACTTCTAAACAGAAAATATCTTCAGTCTATAATACTATCTTTTAACTTTCGATAATGTTTCGTTAAACATTTAAGACATTAACTGAGAAACGGTTTTTTAAACAAGTCTTTCGTTTGGAAAATTGCTCAAATTTCCAGAAGTATTTTTCCTAACAAATGTAGCGATATAAATATTTCGAATTAATCAGTGAATATTTTACCTATGTCATGAGCATTTGCATTTGTTGTGTTCTTTTAAGCTGTTGCCACACGTTAAATTTTGGCTAAAGCTAACGTTCCTTCACTACAGCTTCTATTATGTACAAACCGACGGAATAGGCTTATACACAAAGTAGTTACTACAATTTTGTCATCTCACTGTAATGGACGTAGCGTGTATATATCTATCTATCTATGTACGTGACCGAAATAAAAATTACAACTTGGAGCCGTATATTGAATGACACCACAAATAAATATCCATAAAAAAATTTCACACTTTGGTTATTCAAGATTTAGACAATTATAAAAATAACTGTGGTATTCAAGAATTATCCACACTTAGACAAAACTAGCCATTAAACACAATATTCCTGTCAACGTCAAATTTTCTCAAAAACCCGGCCCTAAATTAAAATAGTTATTAAACAAAAGTTATTTAGAATCACACAATGCCAACCATTTAAAAAATAATGCAACAACTGCTCAAAATTCTACATCGGAGAAACAGGGAAAAAATTGGAAACCAGATTCACAAAACACAATAAAAAACCGTCCCATGTT